TGCTTTTCTTCCCGGTCTTGCTGTGCTCTGCTCAAAGACTGGCTTCCAGATGACGGGAGCACATGGTGGAGCTGCTCTTTTAACAGCTGCTTGTGTGCTTGACATTTCATAGCTAATGACTTAAATGCGTTTTTAAATATTGCCATGGGACTTCCCCTCTTTCTCTATTTTAGTTACAATAAAACTTAATTCCCTCTGAAGTGCAGTGAGTGATAGGGTACAAACTTTATGCATCTTCATGAACTATCTCAAATATTTCAACCAAAATTTCATAATTTAAATAAGGATTTAGACACTCAGAGTGTGGGATTAATGGCTTATATCCAAACCAGTGATTTGCAGAACGCTCATCTTCTAAGAAGCTAGGAGCTTTATAAAAAAATTAGTTCTAAATGTTTGATTTTCTATAGTACTGAAAATGAAAAGCCATCATTGCCTTTTAAGCCATGTCAAAGCACATGCTATAGTTTTGTTGAAAGGCCTTTGAATATATGACAAACTTCTCTGCTTGAAAAGACTGTAACAAAGAGAGCAAAAATACTTGTCTGTAGGGAAAGAGTGGAATGAGTAGAGAACTACTTTCCAGAGAAGTTGTAATTAAGTTTATAGCAACTCAATTAAAGATCCTGATCCACTAGTCATGCATCTGCCTCGGTTGTTAGCAGGCTCAGTGCCTGGGTGCAGGTGTTTAATTAAGATGTCCGGATAGGAACCAGTTGTCTAACCAAATGCTCCAGTCTTGTAATTATGTTTTTGTTGAGGTGCTGTTGCATTTTTCACAGAAAGGCCCATGGTTGGCACAAGATGCACAATGTGTGAGTGGTGCAGAGCCCTGCTTCAATGGCCATTTCAGCTGCTGAGGAGGGTGCTGTACCCTTGTTATAGGCAGTGGCACCTCAACAGAAGAGATGTGCTATGAAATAGCTCACACTCCTCCTTAAGGAGGTCACAGTCACAAAAGCTTTGCAGTTGTAACATCTGTTAGCAAGAGGCAACATTAGTTTGAGTGTGTGTATATATAGTCATATATGTATAAACAGTGGGTTCTTTTATTTTTCAGATATTTAAGCTTAAGAAAGCTTATATTTAAGCTTTTTTTTTATTATTTAGACTTAAAAGAGCTTGTGTTTGTCAAGAGAAGAACCTTAGCTTGCTTTGCCTTTCTCCCAAATAGACTTCAATGACAGGCAGACTGCAATGGAAAAATACTCCTAAGCCTTTCTTGGGAGACTGTCACTCCTGGGACACCCAGCTGAGATGCAGAAGTCAGCGAAGTGACAAACTGAGTTAACTTTGTGGTGCTCTGGACGTGTGCCTGGAAGGACACCATGCCTTGAAGGACACCACCTCAGTGACTGGTGCCCTGACCCTGCCAATTCCTGGACCTCACAGAAAGGCGGGAGGAGGCGGTTGGAAGAGCTCCATAAATGAAGTGCTGCACAGTTAGTGTCAGCTTTACTCTGTGAGCCCAAAAAGCCAGTCTCTGGTGTGTCTGTTTGGAAATGACTGTGAGTTATCAGCTGGATAAAAGTCTCACCTGAAAGGAGGCCATTAATCATCCCTAAGTAACAGCTATGCTACTTGGCTGAGAAAAGCTGTCTGAAGGATATCAAGGTGGAAATAACCTCTTGCCATCATTGCATTGTGATTAATATCTGAAAAAAAAATTGCTTAATTCTTAAACCAAATGAATTTACAATGTTGCTTTTGGAAAAATAGGACAGTCTGCTATCTCAGAACTCAGAGCAATGTACTGGAATTGGCACTGGACAAGAACATGTTTGTTTCTCTTATCACATAAAACCTGAGTGCTTGGAGCCCTGGGTACAGAGAGGTTGCTGAATGAGCCACGAGGCGGTGAGAGGGCTCCATGTTATTGCTCCTCCTTCACACAGTACCTCAAATCTTTGTGACCTTGCTTCTGGAAGGTGCTGGGCGTCATTGGTCTGTACAGAGGACAGTCTGCAGCCACTTATCCTTGTGAGGAATCTCCTGCCTGGGTAAGGGGACCTTTTCTAAGTCAATCTCCTTCCACTGACATACCCAGGTGTGATTATGGACATCCAGGTAATAACTCCTAAGTCAGGGTCTTGGGGATCTTTTCCTCTCTACCAGCAGAATCTCACCCCACTACTGACAAGCTCTCACAGTGGAAAATGTTGCTCAAGTTGTGGTTTGGCATCAATTGTGGTTATCTTGAAGGATGGTGCCTGGGAAATACTCTTCTAACTGCAGTGTGAAGTGGGAAGGAGCCAAGAAGTGGAAAGGCTTGCTGCTGCTACTGCACAGGGAAGTAGAAATATCTGTAGGGAAGGGAGATTTGGGGAATTGTCTGAAAGGGCCTCTCCATTCCACACAAACACTTCTGGGATGCAATGATAAGTTATATTAAGGGAGTATATTGAGAAATGACAGTAAGCTGCAATAATAACCAGGCACCACTGACTATGACGTGACAGTAACATTCTGGCTTTTCTGCACTACGTTTTTAAGAAATGAAAAATAGCTGCCTTGAACTAGAGATAGCTGCTTATAGAGTGACAGGAAGCATTGAAAACCATCATATCCTTTTTCTGTCAATGAAATATTGCTCCTTACATATTGCTTTCTTACATATTTGCTCATTCAAACTTAGGATTGTAATTATTTAAAATACCGTTTTAATTAAGGTAACAATAAAACATGCTAATTCTGCTGAAGTGCTACACTTTGCCCTGAGGTAGTAATGGAAACACAAATTAGGGGACCATCTCTGCCCTAGATTGTTTACATTTTCAAATAGCAAGAGAAACAGCCAGTAATGCTTTACCTTTATCCTATTGTTTCAGTTCTGCTCTTATTTTCTTTTAATCAGTCTATTTCCTCCTGCTTAAATACTTACTGTATCCCAAAGAGAATATTCAACTAAACTATTTGAGTTGGTTCTTTCATTTCTTGTAGTTAATAAGCTACCATCAAAGAGTGTTTTTATTAAAGAGATAAACCTGCCTACATTTAAAATCCTTCTAAACAATGTTGGCAAAGTTTATGATATCCCATAAATGGAATAAGGACCATAACAAAACAAGTTTCTTATACTGTGGACCTTAAACCTTGTTACAAGTTATAGGTTATAAAATAAAGGACAATTAGCAATGAAATACTAAGCTATAAAGTAATAAGTTTTTTTCCCCATGGTAGTATAGTTCCTCAGTAGTATTATGTGATAATTAGACAAATAGTTGAATGGATCAACTAGATACAATAGATCTATTTTTAATCTGACTTGTACTATTCTAACTCAGGAATAACTCCAGTGTGAAACACTTAAAACTAAGATAAGTGAAGGCAGGATTAATGCAAAAAATAAAATTATTTTAAATAAACTAAACCAAACATTGAATCCCCCCCAAAAATTTTGCATTTCATTTGCAAATGAAGTTTTACACATTAATCAAGTGAAGAACAAGTACTTAAAAAAATGAAAGGTCTTTGTAAGGCTCTGAGACAGGTCCTGGACAACCCTTATTACTTATTATGCTTATTACTGAATTTGACCACGTCAATAGAGGTTCTTTCAAAATGGGCAGAGGACTTTAAGAGTAGAATTTTGTATGCAGACACAAGCACCTTAAATCTACTACATGTTCCGCAGTTCTCCTTTCTGCTGTGAAAGATGTGGCAGCAAGAAGATGCTGAGGCAATCCACATCTAAGTACAAACACTGCATATCCCACAGCTCTTTCCTATGAACATTTTTTGCCATGAAAAGAGCAACAGCCAGCAGAGCTGTCTTTCCAGGAAGAATACTTTTATACCCACATTTATCTGATCGCAAACAAATCAGCAGAAAATTTTCTTAGATAAATAGTGAATTACTCCTCCTCACTGGGCACAAAGGGCAATACTCCTTCCTGGGAGAGGGGCTTTGCGTTAACAGAAATGTATCCCTTTTTTTCCCACTTTTCAAGACAAAGCACAGTCCACCTATTTTCTCTCAGTCCTCCAACATACTACTGTAAAGCAGCAACACTTATCAGCAATATTAAAGTGCTTTCTGGCACTGGGCTTTCTGTTGGGATATTGGAATTCCAGGAGGAAAAAGGATAGGAAAATTTCTCATTACTTGATGTGCTACTGTTTTGGCTATCCTGATTTGATTATGGTATGATAGAGAGGGAGAAGTGAGCATCTACAGCCAAAATTAATCTTTAACTTAAAATGATCTCTTCATTAACTGCAGAACTTATCATTAAAATTGAGATAAAATGCCCCTGTTCTGCAGGTGAAAGAAGAGACCTTTCCAGTTCAGGCTCCAATCATCAGCAACAAAGGCAGCTGCAAAGAGCACCTAAAGATAAGGACATTCTTTTGAAATATCATCTGTATTACAGCAAAATAGAACTGATAAACAGCGTCTCACCTTTTTCACTAAAGACTTGGCTTGAGCATAGGCAGGGCTGGTCATTGCTGTTCTCCAAAACCCCATTTGGACAATTGATATTGCAACACTTTGACTGCTGGAAATAGCACTGGGTGTCACAGTGTCCCCTGCCTGCAAGTGCAGACCTTGCCCGTGCTTCCCACCAGATATTTTCATTGCTGTTACACAGTCTTTTGATTTGGATGATACTTATTTAGTAATTTTCAAATGCAGTCAGGTGCTGTGAGCTGGCATTTGCTCCCCTGCAGGTGTCTGGATCTCTGTAGCTGCTGGTCCTCACGACAACAGTGGCTGCATGGGGTCAGGGCTGGGCTTAAGAACTGCCATGCCAAAAGCTGTCATCCTCCTCCAAGGGTCTCACTCAGCTGGAGAGGTGACTGTGGCTTGATTGCCTGCTTCTGCCAAAGGTATGCTACTTATCAATGGGTATTGTTAAAGGAAGTTAAAAAATAAACCTATTATCTCAGTTACCTTCCTTGTTAGTGATTGCTTAGAGAGAATGTTCCTTTCAATGGAGTCCACCATTGATTAGGTAAATTAGTTCCGACTGCCATAAACATCTTTATCTCCTTTAATGTCAAATGTACTTTGTTATTTGCAAACCAGATGAGTCTTGACTGTTTTTCTCTGGGGTGTTTGCAACGCAGTGTTCAGTTTTCACTGGCACCCTCCTCCCTGCACCCACCTGAAATGCTGTGTTGCAGAGAGGGAAGTGCATGAAGTACACGCTTCAGGAGAGACAAGGAGGCCTTCAAAGACTGTTCAGGAGCTACTTCTCAGATGTTTGTAAGTTTAGTTGATATTTCAACAAAGAATCATCCTAGTTAAAGAAACAACTTGGATTTCTTGTTAAATCACCAAAGAAAAACACGAAGTTTTCTTTTAACAGTGCTTAACGACATGAGAGGAAGTGAGACAAAAATGTTCTTACTACTAAGGAACAAAGGAAGAGAAAGAGCACGACTGAATGCCATGCATTATTTCTAAAAATAGGCATACTACATTTTTCAATAGAGCAGCAACTGCTCCTTTAAATGACATCAAATAAAATACACTTGACATTGAACACTGAAGTCTTTGTTTTCTATCCGCCCCTGAATGTATCATTCTTTCAAATAATTTTCCCCTCCTCATGACACTGAGATATTTTAGCCTTGCCTGAAATCTTTCTACAGCTTTATTAAACTGACTTTTTTTGACATGAGCTCTTCCAGTTGCTATCCAAATGCTCCTGAACAACACTTTGTGTGTTAGTAGTACATTAATATGAAGTTCCACCAGCTACTCCCCTCCCTCCCTCCTTCTACTACAGGAAAACATAGCTTTACCTAATTTCTTGTTTGAATTATTTATATTTTGTGCACTCTGCTACTTTCTATCTCCTTACATTAATTTTCCAATCTTTGCCACTCTTCCTTACTTTAATGAGAGTATTTTTGTGATATTTTATGATCTTATCTTGAAGTTTGGTCTGTTTCAAAAATATCACAGAATAATTCCAAATTTCCCTAGGATATTTTGCTTGGTTTGTTGGTTTTTTGTTTGTTTTTTTTTTTTTTTCCCTTCACAGCATTTTAGCTTTCTTGTTTCATTTTCTTAAACAGTTAAATGCTAATGAAACATGACAAAGACCTATGTCTCTTGTCTGCCTCTTTCCAGGTCATTTGCACGTAACTGAGACCAAAAGAGAAAGATGTCAGCACCAAAGCACACATCCTCTGTAAAACCACGCAGTCTTTTTGTGCTTCTGACATTAAAAGGTACGTATTTATTCAAGTCATGTATTTATTCAAGTGACCATAAGGTGACTTTTATATATATATATATACTAATTTTTTTTTAGTATGAAAATGCATAGAATACAGCAATATCAAAGATTTGATTAGAGGGAGAGGAAGTCATATGTGATGGAGCCACTGATATTTAAACCCATTGCATGAGCTTGGTGCTTCTAGCAGTTGTGATCCAGCCTCTGCTATGATCTTGTTCAAGCATGGCATAACCAAAAGATCTATTTTTTACGTAAGTGAACCTGAGAAGCCTGTCTAGTTTTCTACAGTAAGGTTAAATGAAGGGGTGCATTCAGTGGCCTTGTTGTAAATGTTTTCCAAATTGAGGTTTGGAAATTACAAGGTAGAAAAATGAGTGAAATAAATGTCAAACTGAGGCATCCAGCCAGCTTCATGGTAAAGGAAGATAATGGCCCTGATGTCTCTGTAGATGAACAGCTGATTGAAATCCTGGGATGTCTTGACCATGGCAAAACTAGGTTTCATCCCACTTTCAGATTAATGCTTCCTGTACCATTCCTATTCCTATCACTTTCTCCTGGGGGTGCAGTGCCTTGCACTTTTCTAGAGCCCCTGACAAACACACCCATTATGGTCCCATCCTCTCCTAGGCTCATGTGGGAACCAGCTCCCCTCTGTGAGACCCAGCTCCCAGGTGGAATACACTTTATTAGTCAAAAGCACCAGCCTGAAGGTAAACTTTGCTCTCCTGGGACACAATGCTGGCTACAGTGAGACTGAGCAACACAGCACAAGCAGAGCCATTGCCTGGTCCCCCAAAAGTGCACAGTGTCAAAAAGAGAAGAAAACAATGTATATCCTCTGTGCTCAGCTTTTACCTAATGCTGATCATCTCCAAGAACCCTGAGCCCCTTTTGAATGTGATCTGCAATGTCTTGGCTCGGATGCCCTCCTGTATCTGCCCAGGCACCGCCTCAGCAAATGCCAGTGTCTTGTCCATGCCAGGAAACTCAGGGTCCTGTTACCACCACCCCAGTCTGAGGCTCATGGTCTTCTCTCCTCTGTCCTGTGCAGCCTGGAAGTCCTCCTGACCATGCTCCACACTCTGACTTCCTATTGCCATCTGTAAAATGGGCTTCAGTTCACAAATATTTGCAGCCACTTTCACAGTCCAATGCTGGAAGAAATAGCCAGAACGGGAGTTTTAAGTTTAGGGTGCTTGTTGCAGAATTCCTGTTCTTAAGCCTTACCTGCAGAAGCTGAATCCAAAGGCAACTGTGACCTAAATTATCAAAACCTCATTCTCTACCATGTCTTTGTTGCTAAATCCCAGAAGCAGCTTTATCTCATCTAACGTGTCCAGATTTTTTCCATGCTTACTTCAAAAATTTCTGTAATAATCACTTTTGCTTTAGGACAAATTGCTGCTGCAGTGATGAATATATTTGAAGGGCATTGTTGATTAGATCCACCTCTTGGAGGTAGGGTTTATTGTTTTATGGAGAAAACAATGTGGAGAATATGGAGAAGAAAATAGTACTTTGACCATCACTCAAGGTTGGGGTTTAATATTTTAAAATATTTATATATTTAAATAATATGGCTAAATTTAATCTCTCCATCCTAAAAACCACCTCCAAATTTGGATTTTCTTGGCTTGGTTAACAAGTCTTCCCCAAAACAGTGCCTTGCATCTTCACTCCCCTGCAAAATCAGCATTTGGTCTCTTTCAATACCAGTGTTTCCAGTGTAAAGAGATGTCAGGAACTGGACACTGGGAACTATATCTACTGTGAGAGTCCTTCTCAAAGCTTCAGGAAGTGAAGCAAACCTTGTAACCTTGCTTCTGTGGGAAGGTTGGAAAATGGGGCCCATCCTTCATACAGCCAGGCTCTCCAGCCAAAGTGAACAGTGTTTGCCTCATCTTGTTCATCATGCTTGAGTTTTCAATCTTCCTTCTCTGTCAGAGAAACATAATTGAAATTATTAATATTACCATAGCCTATCATCTTAGCAATGCATCAAAGTTAAGGAGTTATGAATAGATCTGCAACTATACCTTTTGTTACCATTACGGGATGTCTTCAGAAGAGCATTGGGTTTTGACCTTGAGGTCCATCCTATCACAGCCTGATACAGCAGCTGCTCTGAATTTAGCCCAACCAAGTATTTAGTCATCCAAGGATTATTCTGCTAATACCAATTCAAGACACTACAGCAACTGCCTCAAGCAAACATGAAAGGAAAACTGGAGGAATAAGAAAAACACACTTTAAAACCTTATCTTGTCAAAAGAAAAAAAAAATGGCAGAGAGGTTTGCAGGTAGTAAATGAATTCTGCACTTATCAAGTGTTTCAGTAGTGTCACTGCTCTTAATCAACCACAAAAGCTATTTGTTTTCAAATACTCCCCAGTGTCAGGCTTGTTTTCCCTTATTCATGTAAAATATGGAATGTCTGTCAGTGAATCCATTTTTCTGCCTTCTTCTGGCAGTCTCGGGGGAAAATCATGTCCTGGGGTGCAGCATCACGATCTGGGAGGGGATTCTGCTCTGTTTTGCACAGGAGGGGCCTCACCTCAAGTGCTGGGGGAAGTTCTGGGTGCCACAATTTAAGATATTAAGCCATTACAGAGCATCCAAAGAGGACTGTGAAGATGGTGAAGGGCCTTGAGGAGAAGCCGTATGAGGAGCAGCTGAGAGCACTTGGTCTGTTCAGCCTGGAGAAGAGGAGACTGAAGGGACAACTCATTGCAGTTACAACTTCCTCATGAGCGGAAGAGGAGGGGCAGGCACTGATCTCTTCTCTGTGGTCACCAGTGACAGGACCTGAGGGAATGGCCTGAAGTTGAGTCAGGAGAGGTTTAGGCAGGATATCAGGAAAAGGTTCTTCACCCAGAGAGTGGCTGGGCACTGGAAGGCTCCCCAGGGAAGTGGTCACAGCAGGAAGACTGACAGAGTTGAGGACAATGCTCTCAGGCACATGGTGGCATTCTTGGAATTGTGCTGTGCAGGCCCAGGACCTGGACTCAAAGGTCTGTGTGGATCACTTCAATTTCAGGATATTCTGTGATTCTTGAAATGAAGAAAAAGAAAGATGAGTCCTCTAGGCTGTTGGTGTCTGCAAGTCTTGCCCCAGGGTTGTCTTCCCAGAACATACAATTTGATGCTTGTATACTGAAAAACGGATGCAAAAATGTTTCTTTAGAAAATGTTGCCCCTGAGTTATTTATAAAGCTGACACTAAAGATATTCACTCTTTTGGTCATTTTTTCAATTTTTCTTTCAGCAACTTGACTATGAATCAATTGAAGTTTTTATGTGATAAAATGAGTATACTTTCACCTGGCTTGAGGAGATTAAACGAGACTTAAATAAGTTCAGCACATTGTGAATGTCTCTGCTTTCTAGTGCTGAAAAGAAATGTATATTGCAGGATGTCTGTAATGTTGAATTTTATCCTTAAATTTCAGATAGCATCCATTTCAGCCCTGTGCTACTCTCTAAGGCAGTAATGTCCTCCTCATCCTCTTCAGCACTGGAGATGGAGATCTTCCAGTACGTTGATGCACATCAAAGTGATTTCATCAAGGTAGGAGCTATATTGCAGTGAAATAATGGTGCCCCAGAGGCCTGGGCTCCGCTGGTAGAAGGAGTACCCATCACAAAGGTAATGAGCAGAGTTTCAGGTCTGGCATCAGGAGTGCAATATGCACATCACACAGCAAGGTTGTAAGAGGACAGACTGCTGGGGACCTGTGGGATGAAGGAGGGACTTGTATGGACTTCCACAAAAGAGAGGGTTGTGAGCATCCTTTGAGTGTGTTCAGATAGAGGCTTCACTAGGCCAAAACGCACTTGCATGGGGCATGCTAGCCAGATAGGATGCTCACTCTCTGTGCTTCAGAACTGATGTTTGTAGGTTTGATCTTTACAAGGAGAGGAATCTTGGTCCCATGCTGGTTTGTGCTTTCATTTTTGTTAGCTCCGTGAAAAGACAGAAACATAAATTTCAGTATCAGTTATGCTTTGAATCCATGAGCACTTCTGAATCCTCATGAGAATCACCAAGGTAAGTTGTACATAATGCAATTTCTATAATGTAAACTAGTCAGCATCTAGTCAACCTCCTCTTCCACTGGATTTTAGATCCAGGATTGACAATGTGAATGCCTAAATGTGAGCACCTGTTTAGAAAATCAGGAATCTCAACCCTGGGGAGACGCCTAAGTAATTCTTCTCTATCCTGAAAGCTTAGAGCATCCATGATAATGCTGTGATGATACAGAGAGGAAATAATCTTCCAGTATGAGATTTCTGATACAAGGGCCAAGGACAACAACATTCTGGATCACCTAATTGCACATTTCTTCCTGTGCAGGGTCTGAAGGAATGGGTGGCTGTGGAAAGCAATTCTGTTCAACCACATCTGAGGAAAGAAGTAATGCAAATGATGGCACTGGCAGCAGACTTGCAACACTGGGAGCCACTGTTAATTTAGTAAACCTGGGGTCGCATCAGGTGCTTATCTGATTCTTGGACTTAAAACCTCATATCTACCCATAGGTCTACCTATTGCATTCAGTGCTATGTACATGTATGTTATGACATATTGTTATTTTTTGAAAGCTGGTGACAAATTTATCAATAGTTCTGTGCCTGCATGATACCTGCTGAAATCAGGTCTGAGAACTGAGAGCACACTGGGAACCACACAGGCAATCCAAATGCAAATTGATGTTCTGTGCATAGAAGGGAGTTTGATGCTTTTAACTGGAGGGAAGAAGTTTGCAAAAGTAAAAGGGCTGAGTTTTTTTACTGGGGCTCATTTTAAAATTTTTGTCTCTAATGAAGCATGAGAACTAATGGATCATTTGTCACTGAACTTACTTAATGAGGGAGGTTGCTCTTATAAGGAAAGTGTTGTCAGACAGAAAGGGTTAGCTACCTAGAGCATCATCTTCGGTTTTCAGAGCTTTTGACAAAAGATCCAAACTATTTTTTTTCATTGTTGGAAAGCAATAGGGAAGAATTAATCTCTGAAAAACCTCAGTCTCTAATTAACTTACCTTACTGTAGCCATGGGCTCTTTCCTGTCCTGGGCTGTTACATTCCTAATCTAACAGGAATTCAAAAGCTCAGTAATAGTGATTCTCTTTTCTTTCCTCTGCTGCTTTTTGTGAGAATTCTGACTCTTACCACAAGGATCCTGAAGTACAGCAACACTTCAGTATTTCAGTTTGTGTCATTTGACAGTTGCAGAGAATGCAATTGGGCCATGTGGAGCTCTGTTCTGCAGAGACACGTTAGAGGATTAACCCTAACCTGTTTTTAAGACAGTCTGACATAGCTGCTTCCTCCTGCCAGCAACAATTTTTTTTCAGATTCTATGTTTGAACTTACAGGCCTCCTGCCAACTGTCTGTGGTGAAATAAAACCCCACATTAATTTGTGTGGCTTTTGACTATTTCAGTGTCCCAACAGAGTTCACAGCACAAGGTTACCTCTGTCTTCTACAGTGCTGGGAAGTGAGAGCTTAGTGAGGAGGACATTTATGACAATAAAATGTTTGAAGACTTCTACAAAGTCCAGCAGGAAATAAACAGTTGAGGAGAAAGATCTTAATTTCTCTGAATAGGTTAGAACTGGATTCACCCAGATTTGTGCACCTAATCAAATCAAAGTCAATTGAGTATAGAAGTATTTTCAATACTGAGAATTGCAGATTTTTTTGCCCATTTGTAAGTTTTAGAAGGTTTGGTTTTCCTTAGTTGCCTTTTTCTACCCTTTCTCCACAGCTGCCTCATGGCCGAGTCCTCTCATTGCCTTCTGTGATCTTGGAGAATGGGGGAAGGATCCACAAAACCCCACTGTATGTTTCTACAGTCATGTGGATGTGCAGCCTGCCAAGAAGGAAGTTGGCTGGAACACTGACCCCTACACACTGACTGAAATCTATTTTCTCATAAGTTTCGTACCATTATTTGAATACATGACTGAGGTTCTGAGTGGAAGAAGGGTTCCTGTCTACTTAACCAAAGCATGAGGACTTCTGTGGAAATCTTTGGGACACGTCCAGCAGCTTTCAGCTTTGATGACTGTTCCCTGACTAGTGAGATCCATCAGTGACTGCCTAATATTTGGTGTGTAAATATTAACATTTGTGGTGGAAGAATGTGAGAACCTCTTAATGTAATTATCCTTCCAGCACAGCTAGCTGACTGAAGGAACAAAAACAATGGATAGAGGGCCAACAGATAAGTAAGACCTCAGAAATCCCGATTCTCAGGTTATAACCACTTAGTTGCCCTTTCTCATTATCTGGGATCAATTCCCAACAGCCTGACTGGCATAATTCTTCTACCTTATTCCAGTGTATATCCAGTGGGGATTGCTACAGAAGTTTATACACAGGTATAGAGTTCAGTTCATGTACAGTGATAGCTGTACATGATGTGCAGTTGAAAAATAAATTAAATACTTAGACTTGTAACTTCATATTTCTGCCATGGCATTTATCTGTAGGGTTTTTGCTGCTTGTTACCTGGTCTGAATGATGCATATTGTGCAAACCCTCCTGGCATATCTGGTATGAACAAACAGCTCCTGAGAAGAAACATGAAGCTCAAAAATTGGCATGTAGCAGAAACCACAAAATTATGCATGTAAAAGGAAGGAAAGAGGGGGACAAAAAGTGTATCAGTCCCTTGGGAAGCACCCGAACACTCATCACCTTATTTAAAATGAGCCAGTGAAATCCTGACACTTTAGACGCTTTTTCGCTCCATCACTAAAGCTTCTGTGGCACCTCAAATTTGCCAATTACATTGAAGTGATGAGGGAAAATTCAAAGGTTTCTTAAAAACTTTCCTGTTTTCTTTTTAAGGAAACCTCTATGGATGTGGAGCAACAGACAATAAGGGACCAGTCCTAGCCTGGATAAATACAGTGGAAACATTTAGAGCTGTGAAATTAGTAGGTATCAATGATGGCTTCTTTATTATTATTGCTAATTTTTGCTATTTAGTATTATTTGTTGTTTTGTTTTTTTTTTTTTATTATATGTCTGGAGAGATGTATTTACATTCCTAAGATCATACCTCTCTGTCCCAACAGACAGACTATATACAATTTGAAATATTAACTATTTCTGATGCAACACTTAGGGCACTAGTCCCACTCCAGTAAGAGTTTGTCTTTGAGCATTTCTGTTTTGTACAGTCTGTCTGCAATGTAAATACAGTCTTGCTACCTGTCGGAACTCAAAATGTCCCTCAGACATTTTTAGAGGTTCCAGGCCTTGGTCAGAAGCATTTTAGACCCTGGCAAACAGCAGAAAACAGCTGTGATTTTGAGTTTGAACCATGGAATGAATTACCAACTTTAAAGGTGGAACAAGCAGTCACAGAGGGTTAGATGGTATAGTAAAAGTAGTCACAAATTAGAGGGTAAAATTTTTTAGTATTGTACAGGGGGGTTTTAACACCTGTACAGGGGGGTTTTACTTTGTACAGGGGGGTCAGGAGTTCTAAGATGGAGGAAAGTGGGCCTGAACCTGTTTTTCCTCCTTCTTCTTCCTTACCTCCATGTTCTTGGTGATGTTGGCATTTTTCTATTGGTTTAGGCTAGGGACACACTATTCAACGTAGATGATAGATATTGGCACATTATTGTAAATATAGTACACGTAATTTCTTGTATATAATGTTTGTAACATCCCACTGGGGGCAGAGCCCCACACACTGCCCTGCAGGACAGACCTGCGGCAGGGCAGCAGAACTTGTTATAGATAAGCAAAAATAAACAACCTTGAAACCAGCACAAACGAACTATGGCTTCTTCTTTGGCAACGGGGCAGAAAGACAGAGACTTTCTACAATCTCGGAATCACCAATACCCACAGATTCCGACAGCTACCATTGCCCTGCAGAGAAAGACCCACAGGGAAGCATTCAATATGTACTACATACATTACACAGCTCTGATAATTGTTCTGCTCCCTTGAGAGCTTTTAAAATGATAAAATAGTAGACATTACAGAATGCTGATGAAGACTCACATTTGCTGATATTTGGTTTTCTCTGCCTACAAGATACCTGCAATTTATGTATCTGTGTGAAGAGAATAAGCATCTAAAAATGTTCATCCAAAATGGGCTGTTATGTCACCAACAGATCAGATTTATCAAAGCAAATATTTTGAATGGTGCATTCACCAAATTCAAATTTGGTGAATGCAACCAATCACTCAGAATCTGACAGATTTCTGAGGTCAGACATTTGCCCCTAAATTACTACAATGACCAACATAGCCATCTTCAAATAATTTAATAATTTTGGAGTAGTCTTACCCACAAAGTAAAGGTAAACCAAAAATATATTTTAGGCTTGTAACTGGGTTAACTATCATCCTTTAAGCTGAATTTGCATTACATATCCTGTTAGTGTGATGAGAAAGTTTTCTGTCTCTTGTATGACATTATGGCACAAACTGAGCATTAAGTCTTGATTTTTTTAAAGTCCCCTTACAGCCTTCTGGAAAACATGTTTTTCTTGCATCCATAGTACTGAATTGACCTTGGTCTCTCTTAAACCCTAGAAAACACACATTATTTGCCTAAAGAGTAGTTGTTGTAAGTGGAAATGGTTATGGGTTTGACATCTTTCTAGTTTTTTCAAATCGTTAATAGCTATCTTGACATTTTAACAAACAAGCAGAAAGGAATTTTTGTCATTTGAAGCCTTTTATTAGAAAACAGCACAGACCATCAAATAATATTCATTAACAGTTTGTTTCTAAAATTTCTGTGGCCAGCTGATGATCTATCAGTGAACCCATCCATGATGCAAGTTCATTTTATTTTACATATTCGTTCTTGTCTTTTATCTGAGCATCAAATCAAAAGAGAAAAGTTCTTAAAACCTCTAATGAGAAAATGAATTGCAACAGGAAACTAAGTTGAAATTTATGTCCCCTATGGGGTGTGTCAGCATTTTCAACTCCCACTATTCCATAATAAAAGTTCTCCTAATTATTCTTGGAAATGCATCATTATCAACCAGCAGGCTTGCAAATTCATCAGTGTTAAAAAGATAAATAGGAGTGTTAAAAAGATAAATAAGAGTAGAGTCACTGGCGACATTCTTTATCACCATGTAAGTCTGTTGATAGACAACATTGGGAAAACCACAGCCAGTGGCTCCCACATGGGCAGTAACAGTGGAATGTAAGAGGCAGGAAATTTTCTTTGGAAATGCAATTGCTATTAGACAGTTAGAATTTCCAAAGCATTTAGAATATTGAATAGCACTGACAGAACGTCCATTTAATGAGATATTTCAGCAAGTTTTCTGAAAGCACAAAGAAGAAAAAAAGACATCACATTGTCCTTTGAAAATGAAAAGTAGATAAAAACATGAGGAAAAGAACAAGTTTTTCTGGGAGCCTATATGTGTCTGTCACTGGCTTCTCTAATGTAGCAAGCTATATATCCTATGCACTCATCCATCATCTTTCTTATCCTAACACAATTTGTACAGCAAGCCAGTCTGCTCTCAATTTTAAAGCTTTTTGGAAAAAAAAATTAAATGCTTGTTTCTTACTCAAACTTTTCTAATTTTTATGTAGGCTGTGCCAGTGAACTTCAAGTTTGTAATTGAAAGCATGGAAGAAGCAGGATCCTTGGAGCTAGAGAAGCTACTTGATGAAGAAAACCAGGGCTTTTTCTCTGATGTTGATCATATTGTAATTTCAGAGAACCTGTGGCTCAGCAACAAGAAGCCTGACCTTACCTATGGGAGTCGGGGAAATGCCTGCTTCTTAGTGGAACTAAAGGACACAAATTCATTCCAACAGAGCCTCTGACAGACAGCAGTGATGTAGCTGTACTCACGTCTGCACGCAGAGAAAGACTGAAGGAAAGCTTAATATTTACAAGTACAGAGCTTTCTTCTGCACCCCTTTTGGCTTCTGCAGATTTACCTCCTCATTTCAGTTCCATTAGCCTTATTTACTTCCATTAACTTCTCTTCAGTCATTGCTTCCCTTGATCCCTTTCCTATCTCATTATTCTCCTGCTACTCTGCCAGTCTCTTCTCATCCTCCCCTCTGCACATCAACTCTGTTCTTGTGGACACCAATCCCTACACCTGCCTTTCCAACTCTCTCTAAAACCATAATTCTGCTGCTCTGCCCTTTTGCAGAAGATACTGCTTAGTACAATAAATCAGCCTAAAGGGACTCAGTTTGGTTGGATCTCTGTGTTTAAAAGCCACACAAAAGTTTTGTAAACATTGGCAGGTGTAAATAAAAGTCCACTGTAGCCAACATGCTATATTTAGCTGGTAATGTGAGCTACTGTGAAATAAAGAGCAGAAATTTCTCATCTGAAATGCTTCCTGATGAAGCAAGCATAAAAGGAATTCAGAGAGAAGATTAAAGAACTTGAGAACTAAAGAAAAATCTGCATTAACTTTTATGTCTGAAAAAGAATGATTTTTTTTTTAAACTGAAAGAGCCTTGGCAGTCTTGATTCAATTCTTCTAAGTCTTGGCTAAGAAAAATGATGCTATTAAAACATCAAAAATGATCTCTCCCTGCTAGTAGACAGTTAGCTGTAATGAGGTTTTGAGAAGAATAAACAAGTTCTTTGCAGGAAAATATTTTATGATAAACTCAAGTATGAAAATGTGTCTGGAAAAACAGCCCATTTAATAACTCAAATGCCTCTATTCTAACGACTTGTTATTCAAGAGAGCTATAAATTTTTATTTGTTTCAATCTTGAATTAAGATTGGATGTATATTCTTAATATCAAACAAGATTATTTTTTGCCTTTTTAAAAGAAGATTTTGCATTAAATAAAAAGGGTAGACAACTTGAAGAATTTATTCTCCAGTGCTAGAAAAGTAATAATATGCAAATGTTTAATGTATGATGTCTTTAATCTTACTGAAGCAAGATGGAGTGGAGGGGGACCCTTGTTCTCAAATCTGTGAGTGCTACAGACAGCTGAATTTCTCTCTCTTGGTGGTTGACAACAGAGCTCCATCTTCTCTGCCAAAGCAGATTGTTCCTGACATGATGTTTTCCATTTAAGGATCAGAAAAAAAAAAAATCATTTACTGTTTATTTGTGATCTTGTTTAAAAAAATTGGTACCACCAGTCACTGTGGAAAACAAAAACTCACAGAAGAGTAAGGTAGCGAGTGTTTACAAGTAACCAGTGGTTTTGGTACAGGTTGGGTGTGGCAGCAAGGACCTGATACACTCTGGAACTTTTGGAAGCATCATTCATGAGCCGCTGCTGGGTAAGAACACACATCACTGCCCAGGAGCAGCTGGGGGGAGCTGCCCATGTCAGCCTAATGAATGGCAGGGCCACCTTTAACTCTTGTAAGGCAAGTCTCATGGAAGCAACATCCCCAGATTTCCAAACCTCAACACAGCTATGGTGGTGGCAGCTGAGGAAGGAAATGTCCCCAGTAAGGCCAGGACTTCAGACATGTTAAGCTGATGTCAGTCACACATAAATTAAGAACATTTAAGGATTACAGGCAACTTTAATACATGCACACATAGCAAAACCTGACTTTTTAATGCTGCTTTGTATCCCAGTAGGATGATGTTTTCATGTCAGAAGCTGAGCTGACACATCACACACTACATACAAACAGCAGCTCAATGGTTTTCTTAATAAATATGCAAATATATCAAGTTAGGGGAAGCAACTTGACATATGCAAAGAGTTGTTCCTAATTTAGTAAAGAGCTAGATAGAAGGGAGAAGGTATTATGATTGCCAAGGGGAAGAAATAGGTTCCCTATTTCTGTATCTTACTTTGCAGACAGCCTTGTGGATTCCACAGATTATATTCAGATCCCTGGAATCTACGACAGTGTTGCTGCCCTGACAGAGGAGGAAAGGAAGTTATATGAATCGATTGAATTTGATCTAGAGGAACATAGAAATAACTGTGGTGTGAAAAAATTCCTCTATGGCACCAAGGTAATGTAAAATTTGTATGAATACTCAGCAGAAGGAATTTAAATAATCTATTTGTAGAATTTATATATAAAGCCAAACTGAAAGATATTTTCAGTCAATGATAAGCTCAAAATAAAAGAAAGGAGCCCTGAGAAGTAAAAGGTAAATAAAACTAGTCTGCCAAAAATGTAAGACACTGCATCTGGGGAAAGTGATCAGAAATATGAATAATCAATTAAAAACAATGATGCAAAACTAACAGTGTAAGTTTCCCTTCCTTGCCTACTCCTTCTCCCCCCCTAAGCATAATCAGCCAAATAAAACATGCATTTAAATGCCTACATTTAGGTTACATAGTAGGAAAGAAGTTGTATTCAGCTCTGAAAAAATGGGAGGCAGTCTTAGGCAGATATGTTTTGGGTGTTTTTTTTATTTAATACAGATTTTGATGTCTGCCAAGCCTGCCATAAAAAGCATCCAAAGCTACAAGCCTCTCCTTACCAGCAATTAAAAATTATATCCTAAATAAAAAAACAGCAGGTAAGGTCTGACTTGGAAATATTTCTCTGCACAAGAGTGGCAGCTAGGAGAAAGGAGTTGATTAATTTTTTATCACAAACATAATTATTGTGGTGTAGGTTCTGCTAACATGGATGCTTTTATTTCTGTGAGAAAGCTTTCAAATTAACTAAAGCTAGAATGTTAGAATCAGTAATAAAAAAGTATAATGTAACTATACTATCTGAGTTTCGATGCTTTACCTGTATGAGGATGAATTTAAGCTAATTTTATATATAGATAAAGGTCTAGTCTCGTAAAACTGAAGGAAAGCAGCAGCACCCTGAGGTTCTGCATGAAGACCAGTTTATAATTTATATATTTCTCCTATTTTCCTTAGAATAATAATTACATTTTGTTTCCCCTCTGCATTTTCTCCAGAAAAACTTAGTTATTGAAAATTATAATCTTTCCTATGTGCATTTTAGTGTTCATTAGTAGAATTTCTTCACTGATATCATCTGGGATGTATCTCACTTCATGGTTTTTCCAGTGACAAGTTCAGGATAAAGAGGCAGTCAGATCAGAAATTGTTCTGATACTACTTTGCACTAGGAAAATTTACTTTGAAGATTTTAGAAACAATACTCTATTTTTCTTATTTTTCATGAGAAACCGTTACCATCCAAATCTTTCTATGACTGAAAGTAGTAGAATTTTTTTTTTAATGAAAATACATGTGTGTGGGTTTAAATAAAAAAATAAAATACCTTTAAAATACAGGTCTTCAAATGCAAATTTTAAGATGGAAAAAGCTTGTTTATATAAATTGTGGCTTGTTTATATCAATCTCTTACATTTTGAATTATTTTTTTTAAAGGAAGAAATACTCCTACACTTATGGTATTACCCCTCTCTCTCTGTTCATAGGATTGAAGGAGCTTTCCATGAACCAGGCATTAAAACAGTCATTCCAGCAAAAGTAATTGGCAAATTCTCAATCCATCATGTCCCCCACATGGACCTTTTAGTTGTGAAAGAACAGGTAAGAGACAAATCTTTTCTTTGGCCACTACTGTGTAAACTAAGTCTCTCTTATTACCTTACAAACCTAGACTTGTAGTAAACAGAATGTTTTTAGCACTTAGTTCTTTCCAAGAGAAGGAGGAATGTGGGTATAAGCTTGAGTTGCAAGATGAAAGCTTTTTTGAAAAGTATTTTGCCTACATGTGGTGGAACACTTGGAGGGTGTCTTTTCCAAGAGGAACAGTCCAAACAAACTGAAAGTGTCCATGCCTTTGGGTGCAAAGCCCTGGCTTGCTGATGCTAATGATCTACTATATAAAGCAGCAAGAAGGGCAATAAAACTAGGTGTGATCCTTTTTTCCTTTTTTTTTTTTTTTTTCTTCCCCAGTTGTTAGTGTGTCTGTAAGTGTTCAGGGATATTGGTGCTCAACAATAGGGCAAAACAGATTTCCCAATTCAGTGCTGCAGCCTCTTACTCTTATAAATCTCATTGATTCTGACAGAATAACTCATCAGCATCTTCTATACCTAGTTAAATTTTGATATGCTTTACAGGAGTAGCCAAAAAGTCTCATTTATTTATTTTTGTATTGATACGAAACCAGAGGTTTATGAAGCAGAGCTGATTTGTGACATCAATTGGCTACACACTCAAACCCATTTCTACTCAGAAGCTCTTAGTATCAGCTCTTTGCTTAAATCTATGATAGCATAAAAAATCACCTGGATTACACCTATTTATTAATTAATTTTTCCCATGTATTTCAGTTTTTGGAGAAGATCCAGATTTCATCTGTGATGGTTCAACAATTCCTGTTGCCAGAATGTTTCAGACTGTGACACAGAGAAGTGTGACGATTCTTCCAATTGGAGCGGCTGATGATGGGGAGCATTCCCAGAATGAGAAAATAAGAGGTTTCTTTCATTTTCTTTTTCTACTATTAGAGAAGGGGGAAAATTGAAGTCCCTTGGTGCCCATGAATGAGCATGCCCAGATGGGAAGCTTTGCTGTGCATTGGGCAGCCCTACTATCTCCAGCACACTAGTTGCTGTGCTAAGCAAAATTCCTAGACTAATCCATACCATTATACACTTTTCTCTGGGTGTCTACTCAGTCCTTAAATTCATTGCACTGGCAATTTTAATTTCTCTAGCAATGAAATTTGCCTCTGGTCTGAAAGATGATGGTGTGAATGGGCACTCTTCTATCACAGCATCTGTTTTGAAGTGCGCCAGTCACAGATACTCATGGTTATGTGAGGATTTTGGTGGTTTTCAGTATAAATGGCTATAAAGATTCATTTATCATCCAGGGACAAAAACTAGCATAATTATATTAAAAATAGCTTAAACTTGTCACTGGTGTTTATTGTAAGCCACTATTCAGTGTGTTGCCTGAACATTTGTGCTGGCTCTGAGTCAATTCATGCTGTACTCTGGAAAGAGGAGAATCCTACAATAATTCTCAAATTACTTTTTGTCTCCCCTCATTAAAGCCTCAATGCTGCTGGCTACAGGTAATACCAATTTGGGGGTGTAAACCTGGAAAAAGTTTTCTGAAGTAAATCCAGAGGAGTATCAAATTAAAAGATGTCCAGCACTTCTGTGTACTGGGTAATTTTCAGTATTGAAACATTGAACAATTCAGTATTGAAATATTGAAACATTTCAGTATTGAAACATATAACCAACATTGCAGATTCCTCTGAAGACTCATAAAACTTCACTGGACTACGCTCCTAATTTTAAGAGCAGGACAGCCCGACAAGTCTTCATTGTGTTTCTTTCCTTCTTCACAGACACAACTATATTGAAGGAACCAAATTGTTTGCAGCTTTTTTCCTGGAGATAGAAAAGCTACATTGGAACTTAGATGAAACTTCCCACACAGAGACTATCAGCTGACAGATCATATCAAGAAAATCAGCAAAGCACTTTCTTAAATTTTTGAACTTATATCAAACATATAAATCACATATTCAGTGGCTGTGAATTGGTGGGGAAAAAAAATAAATGCTGTGCTATTTCCTGGCATACTACTAAATGGCATGCATTTGTTATATGATCCATCAAGTGATCTTATCCCTAGTGGTGTAAAATAAGATAAGGGATAATTCATTCTTGCTGAATGGAACATGTTACATTTTAGTTTTAAACTTCAAGACAAAGGGAATTTATTCATCCATTTTATCAAAATGACTTTATTTCTGTTTTGTAGTATCACTCTTCATCCTGCCCAGCTCACATTCCAGTTTCTGAATATAAGCAATACGCACTGTAATTTCCACCTAACTATATACAAAATTACACTTATGTAATTCTTTGAAGAAAGATCTACTATCAAATTAATTTCTTTCCTTGTCCTTAACTGAAGGTTTTAAATAGGAAGTGCAGTGAAATGTTCTTGTTGAGTTTGATGTGAAGATTTGCCTATATTATTATCTATTTATGGGTATAATCACTGAGGTAAGTAGAACTACAACAATAAATAAACATTTCCAGGTCTGGATTCTGCCTTCCCTCTCATCCAAATCACCTCTTACTATGCTGTGAGCAGTTTTAAGACTCATTTAATAATGTTTTCTTCATGTGACTTTCTTTCCATACACTAGAAAGAAATTTTTGTAAACATCTCTTTTGGCCGAAGCCTGTTATCAGAAGGGTTTTTTCCACCCAATTAGCAACTGGTTCTTAATTGCTTTTAAAGCATCAGTTTACATTAATAACTAAGTCAAAGGCAAATTATATATTTTGAAATAAAAACCAATTAGTTGAGAGCTGTTTGTTGTTCAGGCAAAACATCCAGCACAAAGCTTGTCATTCAAATCTAGATTTTTTTAAACTTTAAAATGTGATTTTTACTCTAACACAATTAATTCACACACAACCAAACCAACGGAACCAGTAGTGTTATCCCCACTGTTTAAAAAAATTACATTAAGTAAATTACATAGAGTACTTTGGATCCTCCTTACCTCCCTGCAAAAATCTGCAAGAACAAAGATGTAGACAGAGTCAATAGAAGGGAATACTCATACATTCTCAATAAACACCCATCTTTAGCCCTACCTGAGACCATGAGGCCCCCAGTTCAGCTGTAAGAGCTGAGTAAGGATTCTGGCTCTGGGTGCTGACAGTGTTCAAGGGGAAAAGGAGGACTCAGCTCAGTCTGACTTGGCACTGCTGACTGCAGAACTGCAGTGTACTCGAGGACAAGGACCAAAAGCATCAAAGACCACTGGTTTGCGTATCATCAACTTGCAAATAATACTCTATGACACTCAGGTCCCTTCACCTGTTGAAAGCGTTTAGGAACCAACACAGTAATTAATGAATGTTGCAGGGGTGAGTACTCCAGTGTCTGCACAGGACTCAGGGCAGATTGGTCCATGCTTAAAAGCTATCACACTATAGAGGTACACAAGGGAATTTTGCTGAAATATTTCAAGACATATGCCTGACATAAAACATTGCAATCTCTGAGTCTGCAGTGGTTTTCCAAGTTACAGAATCACACAGACTCACAGAATATGCCAAGTTAGAAGAGACCCACAAGGATCATTAAGACAAAGTTTTAGTCCTGTAAAGAACCATCCCCCAATTAGCTTAAAACATAATGGAAAGAAATCTCTGTGCATAAATATTACCCTTTTGGCAGAAGAGGGTAAGTTGCTGAGACGGAGGTGGCAGGTTTCTTCATGAAAGAGGGAGGGAGACTGTGTTTTAGGAACATGACTGCTCTGAAAGACCACTATAATATGCCGTCTATGTGTTCTACATTATGAAATTGGAATGGAAGATGGGCTTATTTATTTTTCACTGTTGCTCTTTGGAATGCCAAATAAAATAGAGCCAAAAAAGAGCACCATTTTATAAATACAGATACTCTCAGAGCAGTTCACTCAAATAAGGTTCTGCTCTGAAGTGGTCACTTACTGTCAAGTTAAATCTATGTGAGTGAAACAGTGGGGCCACTGAATGATGCAGACCATTTCCATGCCTCCTTCAGTCCCAGAGGAGAGAAAGAGCATAAAACTTCAGATTCTTTTGTCCATGAAAGAAAGAAAGCATTGGGAAAGCAGCTCCTGCCCACATGGGTATTGAGAGCTACTCTTTCCTTCTTAGATCAAGAATGAGTATCCACCCTCTATTTTCTTTTGTTTTTTAATATTATGCAGCATCTCATCAGCCTTGTGGAAAAAAGAAACGGTATGCATTTTTTCTAAGGTCTGTAGTGTTATGCAACATTTCTAGAAATGTTTCTTCTTGGTTGCACTAACAGCTGTATGTTGCCACAGTAAATTAAAGATAACTCTACAATACTAGTGTTAGAAATAGGATTAAAATTTGCTTCCTTATTCTAAGTTAGCTAGTATTCTAATGAGTAAACGTTATTCTAGATGTGCCATATCCCATGCCAGAGTATATTAGATATTCTCATATTGTGACCAACTAACTATAGAAATCATATGTACAATTTGTATGTCTACATATGCATGTATATAGCTGTATATATATGTACACTTCCAAGATCTAATCTAGTTATTGCTTTAAAAAAGAAAAAATCTTGTCTATTCTGATTCAGGTATATTATCTATACAGATAGCAAGAACTGGATCGTAGGATAATAGAAGGATTTAGGTTGGAAGGGACCTTAAGGATTACAGAATTGTTTGGGCTGGAAGAGACCTTTGGAAATCATCTAGTCCAAGCCCACTGAAATGAGCAGGATCAAGTAGATCAGGTTGCTCTGAGCACCATCCAAGCTGACCTCAAATGTGTCACGGGATGGTGATCCGGGCAACCTGTGCCAGTGTTTCACAGACCCCAGAGCACACCTAACAGTACTAGGTGCCCATACATAGCTGGTCAACTCCTGCCTGTCTCCCTGGTAGAGGAAGACTTGTCCCAAGTTTTCCTTTTTTTTTGTAGGCTGTACATCTGTGTTGTAGGGAATTGAACACTCAAGAATAGGATTGTATTTTTCTATTGACTATTAATGTGAAAGAATAAATTACAACATTTTAATTTCCATTTAAAATCAGTGGGTTTAAGTGTGAAAGTGGCATTTTTATATTAGATAAACATAGTTTTTAATCCTTAAGTAAGGTTTCAAAAGAGAAGACTGAAAAGTGTGTCAACTAAAATCATGGAGAATAAAATGCTGACAATAGAAGCTGAAGGTATAGAGAGATAAGCAGCCTCCTGAGACTGAGAACTAATCAGGTTATCATTTGCTTAGCCTGTGAAAGTGGAAATTAGGCTTACTCATGTAGTTATGGTTTTCCTTTTCAGTAACACTACTCCCAATAAGTTTAACTTTAACTCCTGCTAGTTATTTCTTTCAGAGTACTGCATTTGGCTTGTATCACAAAATGTTATAAAATGCCTTGCTAGTTAAGGATGTTCATAGTCCATGTTTGGACAGGGAAGATTGTGCAACTGTGCCTTTACCTGTGACACAGAGGCCCATGCCACAGTGGCTGGTGCCAGTGAGACCCATGAGTTCCCTTGTTTCTGCTGGAACATTCCAGCTGCAAGTAACATGTAAAGTTAAATACTTATTGCTCCAAGGTGAAGCTTAACTGATTTTCATGTTTATACCTTGTATCATAGAATATCTAGAATTGGAAGGGACCCATAAGGATCATTGAGTCCAACTCCATGTATATCTGTATTTGGAGCTGGAGACATCATTCCCATTAGGAGGTATGTCATTAAATATTTTAAACAAATATATTAATAGAAAAATATGAACAGCTCCTTGTTAACAGAGTGCATATTTGTCTGGTTTGCTCTACTGCCAAATATTTCAGTAATCTTCTTACTTGCATTCTTCAGAACAGTGTATGAAGAACACCTCCATGTTGCAGATAATTTTGACAAATATATAGCAAAGGTTTTTCTGCAATGCTGCTACACTAGATTACATAAAAGTAGACCAGGGCATTCAAAAATATCTGCTAGCAAGACAAACATGGTGGTATGCAATCTTGAAACCTCTTATCATTTTTTTTTTTTTCAGCTGTGAACTTGAATCAGTGTGAGTCTTCTTCCTGAAGTCACTTAGAATTCATTTGGCATTTCCACTACTTTCTGAGGAGGTAAGTCACTGTCTGTTGTAATGGGAGGATCAGCAGCTCCCCGTTTTCAGCTGGTTGTCACATGGAATGAGTTGTTTGGATGGAAGACCATGGGGAATAGTTCCTAGTTACTTTATCTGCTCTCACAGAGTTTTAAGAATTGTAAATACTATCTGAAAATGTGCTTGTATATTGTTATGCAATTTCACTGGGGTTCTTTGAGTGAAACATGCCACATTCACTTATCCTCAAGGCAGGAGCAACAGCTGTGTATTTGTGGACTTAAAGAGATAAGTGAAAGTGCAAACACACTTCCACAGCTGTGAAATTTGGATTATTTTTGCTAAGCAACTTTACTCTTGAGAGGGAAAAAAAGCCCAACAAAGCTTTGCTTAAGGTCCAAAGTCCACCCTGCATAAGGTGCATCCCAACAGCAAAGGAAAATGGTCACATTACTTACTTGATGAGCATTTGAGAATTTCAGTGTGTAATCAGAAAATTCTTCCTTTGGTGCTAACAGTATAAACACATTCTTATTTCAGTGGATATAGTTCTAACAGGACTAGGATGCATGTGCCAGGTGGATAACAGGTTGACTTAGTGAAGACGACAAATAAGAATTAAATCTCTATTTTATGTAGCAAAAATTTTTTTGCATATTATTTTCTGATCTGCTGCCACATTAAATTTTTATGTATTGATGCATAATGTACTTTATGTTTCTATTTGAGATATATGTCTATGTGAGAAACTTGCTTTGTGAGTTTGCAAGAGATTAATTATACAGTTGCAGAGCTGTAAATTCTGGCAAGCTGTACATCTTCACACATAACAGACAATACAGGGTAATAAATGACTCTCATTTTACTGCAATAGATTATTATTAAAATTAAATAATTTTTATTAGAAATTCACAGTACAAGAAAACTAAATCCTTGGAGGTTTGGCAGAGTTGGCCTCCAGACAGACTTAAACATATGTGTAGTTAAATGAAATCAGATGCTGTGGATGTATGTGTGGATAATGCTGATTTTGCTACCTGTCTCAAAATAATTTTGATTATCTCTCACTGTGAAGTAACATGATGTTTTGGCCAATTGCATGTTCCCCGTCCTTCCAATGCAATTTCAACTTTCTGTTTTCTTTTTTTTTTTTTTTTTTTAATATCTGTAAGAATAATTCAAATATCATGCTAATCATTTTATTTGTGGAACTGAAGGGGAGCTTAGAATTGAAACTGTAAAATCTCTGTAATAGAAAACTGAAAATATTCAACATGACACACTCCTGACATATATTCTTCTGGTGTGAAGAAACAAGCAATGGCAGAGCCCTCATACGAAATACATCTAGGTTTGCATCACTCTTTTTTTTACAATTAGAAATTCAAGAGTTAGTACTGCTTTACTTGTCTGCTGTGCACTGTTGCCTTCCTGACAAAGCATTAAATTTCAAAAGGCAGGGTTAACATCCTCAATTTGGCAGCAACCCTAACATTCCAGTGACGACTTCAAAAGATAAAGTTTCATTTAATCCCAGTGTGAGGACCAATAAAATCCTGGAAGTACATCCTTTCTAAAGCTGCCTTTTTTGAGGGCTACTGGACACCGAAATTTATATATAGTCCAATTTTATTGAAAAACGGTGGAATGAAAAGTCCATTTTAAACAAACTAACAAGCAAACAAAACCATGACAGATGCTGTGCTAGCTTCACTCCTGGTGAACAAGCTAGCAGTGGCAGTCAGTGGTGCCTTTGCTAAGTCACCCTTATAAAGGGCACACCAAAGTGTATGGGTACAGGAAAAAGGATATTCACCTGCAGTTCTCTATAGGCACTGATGTATCTTAACACAGGATTTTCTGGAGGGAACCATCTGAAGACTTAAAGATAATGTCCATGTGTAAAATTTCTGCCTGAGTGCTTCAAGTGATTTCAGTTATTTGTCAGCATAGGAAAAAACCCCACATCTGATTTATTGGTATATTGATATTGATGTTTGTAGCTAGAAAGCTGCATGCACAGAGACATAAGTGAGGTTTCCTGCCTGCATGATTTGTATTGTGTATGCAAAACAGTTTAGTTGTTGGTGCTTATATACAACTGCCTTCTATGACCATTTTTTACTATTTATTTTTGAGATGTTGGCTACTGTGACACTGAGCATACAGCTGTATGACTACTGTTCTGGTCTTTTACAACTCACGGATGTTACACAGTTCTCTTACCACTCCTCAGCTGGATTGTAACCTGACTCTAGAGAAACATAACTCAGATTATTCAGGATCTGATGAAAACACGTGACTCTTCAAGTGCCTCTGTGAAGATACCTGTCTGTGCACATGCAGATAGACATCCATGGCCCCTATTCTTCTGTGTTGTAGGCTGAATAGAAAGCCTTTAATACTACCGGCAAGACTAGGCCTGGATGATGCATGCTCCAGGGCCAAATGAAAGGATTTGCAGTCACTCTTTTGTTAAAGGGAGGGGGGCGGGGGGAACTTACTTCAAGCACCATCTTGTTTTTCTTCATATTCTTGCAACTTCCATCTGTAAACTTAAACTCTATAAAAGTATTTTAACTTCAACAAACCCTTGCAGTTACTTCAAGCTGCTCAAAAATTGTTTTTTCTGCCTAGATTTTACATAATTATAAGAAATTCAAACAAATCCTTTGTAAGTGTTTCATTAAAGATTGGGTCCTTTCCTTATTTTTCTCAAACATTTATATTGCACTTACAAGAGCAGGAAAAGTTGGGAAACCATGTAATTTTTACTACATTTTTACCTGTCTGCATAAGGTTCTTTATATCACAAGAAAAAAAATTAACAAAAGGTACCTAGCAGTGTGCAAGCATTTTGTTTATGTAAAAATGGTTAACTATTGTACTTCAAGTAAGTTCCTTGGCAGGACTGTGCAACAAACCCAGCAGGTAACATGAAGTGAATCAGAAGGTGCAGCCTTTAATGAAAGCGTGGCGGTGGGTGCCACGGGCAGCGTGACCTCGCTGGCATAAAGGTGCAGCCGTGCCCTGATGTGGTCACTCCTCCGTTGGTTCCTAGAGCTGTCGTGGCTGCCCAGCTGCGGAGCGGGGCTCTGCAGGCTCGCTCTCCATCCCTTTGGACACCAGGGGCAGTGGGCACTGAACTGCCGCCATGGTTCCCTCCACAGGGGCAGCTCCCCATAAAACCACATCACAGCTGCAGCCACTTGGCCTCAGCCAGCCCATCCGTGCTCATGTGGCACTGGCAGTGCCCTGGTCCCTCTGTGACCCTGCTGAGCCCGCCAGAAGCCACCTATGTTCTGCCCAGGCTGCTGTTCGGCCGAGGCAGTGCAGGAACCAGCTGAGCCGTGGATCACAGCGGTGCTGCACCAGCGAGAGATCAGGATCACAGGACCACGGCCAATTCATAGAATTGTTCATTGAAATTGTCCACTGCTAAAAAAGACCTTTATCGAGTCGGTCAGGAAAATCCACAATCGCCGCTAGAGGTTTATGCTCAAAAAGGAGACAGATGAGTCCTGCAACTTTATTCGAATAAACGGACTCAACTGAGACACACACCCGTGTGGCTTTCTCTCTCTCTTGGTTTCAGAGAGTACAGCCTCCTTTTATCCCAAATTCCTGCCCGTATGTTGCCCAAATTCCTTTCCCCATTGGCTGAGGCACTAGGAAGGTACAGCATTCCTGAACCACCTATCACATATTCCCTCCTTGAACCAACTATTTTACCCCAAAGCTCAGAAACTCAGGCTTGTGCAGACTCTTATCTGTTTCAGGAGCAGAACTGCCTGGGCTCTGCAACAAACCTGCTGCCCAAAGTCAGACAAGACATTAAAACCCATTTCAAAGATGTTAACATCCATACCTTCTTCACCCATCAAATTGTTTGTAAAGACATTAACTTTCCTCTCAAGTCCAACAATTACCCCAGCACTGCCAAATCCACTACTAAACCCTAAGTCCCTAAGTGCCACATCTACACATCCTTTAAATGCCTCCAAGGATGCTGACTCAACCAAATTCCACCAGTTTGAACAGTGTGCAGCAGCAGGTCAGTCAAACTGGAATATTACACTTTTCTCCCTGAATCCCACATCTTGAAAAATGGGCAAAATAACTTGCATTAAAAAAGGGAAGATATAGAGACATATGTATATATCTGTGTTGTATTGTGTTTTTGTATTGTGTGCCTGTGTTCTAATGGTTTATTCCTGTACCCCCTATTTTTCCCAATAGTTCTGCCCTAAAACTACCCCTTTCCTTATATGTCATTCCCCTCCTCCTCCTCCTATGCCAAGCACCCTCTCCCCACCTAGGAACCCCTGAAAAATGCTGTTATCCCCCTGTCCCCTCCCTGGTGCCTTATCCATCACTCGACTGCTCACCCACTCCTCCAGAACCTTCTACCCAGGGCATCAAGTGATTGGGCGAGGATCAGGGGTCCCTCCTCTGGTTCCCCTTTGTTGGCCCTTGAATCCATCTGTTTCCCCAACTTCCACTCCCCCAAACCCCCTTATTGGTTGAAGGGTGATCCCTTCCCCTCTTGCCACCCACGTTTATAAACAGTTGCACATTGCCCCTTGGTGCGCTTGTCTGTTGGCTCCCGTAAGGTTTGGAACTGTTAGGAGTTCTCAATAAACCCTTGGACTTTGCCCCAGAAGAGAGTCACCCTTTTCTTCTTCAATCATCGGCTGTCTATCCCATTATGGTCACCTGCGCCAGCACTTGACCCTAGTTGCTCCCCCAACCTCCAGAGGCACATGGGAGTGTTCCCCGCTGTCTGCCGTGTCATCGCTTGTCGGGCAGACTAAAGTGGACATCGGGTGGACACGGCAACAGGCAACATATATGTATAGGGAATTGACACTAAAGGTTCTCGGTTTTTACATCCTAATTTTTGTTTCATGTTTTCTTAGGGGTTGGAACTGCAGAATAAAGATATATGCAACTCTTCTTAAAAAATTTGCTACTCAGTCAAAAACCAATGGTAGTTAAGGAACCCTAATAGGTTGATGCTGATAACTTGATATCCTACAGATACCATGATGTCCTTCGGAGGGTGTGCCAGCAACATTCTACCTATGAGATCACCACTGAGTCATTGGGTTACTTATTCTAAACAAATCTGATGGGAAATCCCGTGATTCAGTCGGATTATGGTGACTGCCTTTATCCTGCTCAATATCTGACTTCTGGTAGTAGTAACCACAAAGCTACGTGTGTTTTCTGTACAGGGGAGAACACAGAATATTACATAGGAAAGGTAGGGAGAATTTTATGTTACAACTAGGTAAAGAGCTGGTACTACTCTTGGAATGACTAGCAATTCTAGCAAAATCAGTATTTTGGTGTGGTAGAAATATAGCAACTGCAAAATAATTCCTAGTGTCATATTCTGTTAGAAAATAAATATAGTCTATGTTTAAAATCCATTGATAAGATAATCTATTAATTATTGTTAATTACTCATTGAGTTATTCAGCTTGCATTTAATATATTTTTATTAGCATAACTATTTCAGAACACAGAACCACTTTTCAGCACAACTTTAGAATTCTCTATGTACCTAAGCCAGAACATTAAATGTATGAATGTAAACATTTAATAAATACAGCCTATAATTGCAAAATTAAATTAATTACTTTTGGTACAGGTATGATTTTTCTTCGATTAACAGTGATTCGGCCTTAGTTGCTACTTGTCCCATACCAATGGCTCCCTCTTCAGGCTATTCCTAAAATATGCTGCCTCTCTTCATTTTGTTAGAGAAGCCTCCAGCTTGCATGGTCGCATCTTCTTTTCCCTTGTTTCCTCTCAGTAAGGAAATGATGAAACAATGATGGACCAGGCAGGCTCACTTGGTGTTACTAGAGACCCAAACCTACAAATCTTTTAAGGCATATGAACGGAACCTGTAAACTGCAGCAAAACTAAGCTTAAAGGACATCAAAAGGTTGTTTTACCTCTTTTCTCCATGCTGAAAAACAAATCAGATCAGATCCAAAACAATCAGATTGTTCGTAATTGTATTAGTCTTACAACTGCCAGCGGCTCCTGTAGCCGCTCAAATTATAAAATATAAATATGTACCTAAAATCCCAATATCTTTACTGCAAATTTAGCCATATTCTGTGTGGATTTCCTATTATACACAGAACAATTAAATTCTGTACTACAACCCTTCAGTACAGGACAAGGAGATAGCCCTCTCTCACCAACGTCCTGTGTGGTACTTTACTGTTTTAAATTTTGTTCATTTATTTCAGACATTTCCCAAGACACTGGTAAAGTTCACTTTGCTTCAATGAAGGGCTCAGGCCACAGCAACTGATTTGTTTTCAATCCATTCTTACAGTCTGTACAACCCACGAGAGAACTGGCATTGGCTGTGCCATAAATTGAGCAGATCAGCCAGTGACTAGCTGGCTGAATAGCATGGTAAGTTGTCACTTCTAGTTGGTAATCTCGTGCACACTGTGTGACTGGAAAGTCAATGAACTGCAAACCTATTCCCGAAGAGGTGCTCTCTCCTTGTGTCTCTATGTCAGGGCCTTGAAGAATGCTAAAAGCTGTTTAACTAAGATCCTGTCTACTAAAAAATGTTGTGTAATCAGGAGATAAATGGGAAACCTGCATTTTAAACATCAAAACACACTGCAAAAAAGCAACTGCATTTCACCACAGGCTTCTGAAGACTCTTTACGTGTTGCTTCTTTGCTTTGATATTATTCTTCCATGGGCTTAAGAAGAGGGGAAGAACACTTAGGGTTTCATCATCACGGTTTCTTCATGAGTTTACAAATTGCCTCCCTCTTGCTTTTTTCAACTGTTTCTGACTCGAACTGCACACCCTGAAAGGTATTTTAATACACTGGACCGCCGACACCTTTCGACTGCTAACCCTTGTGAACGGCTGCGGGCTGTGTGTCAAGGACTGTGTTCCCCCTCCTCCTCCAGAACAGGTTTCCCAAGGACCAGATCCAACTTTCGCTGCAGTGCGACGCAGGATGAGACTGCGAAGCACAGCTTTATGCACGGCCCTGTGGTTACCCCGGCGCGGCCCAGCGCGGGGGCTGCCCTAGGGACAGAGGCCCCCGGCAGGTCGGGCGGCTTCGGGAAGCCCCAAACCCGCACCCGCTGGCTCCTGCCAGCGCCGGCTGCTCTCGTCCGGCAGGCATCCCGGGAAAACCCTTGGGGCTCAGTCCTTCCCTCTGGAACCATCCCTTCCGATAGGGGGATGTGGGGGGCAGCAGCGGCCGGGGACGCTGCCGGGGCAGGGCAAGATGGCGCCGGAGCGCACCTGCGTGCGTGCGCGCGCGGCGGCGGCCGTTGGACGCGCGGTCCCTCGCGCCCGCGGCGGCACGAGCGGCGCCGCCGCACCGGCTCCCGCCCCGCCGGCGCCGCCGCGCACGTCAGCGCGCCTCGCCCCCGCCCCCCCGCGCGCCGGGCGTGACGCAGCGCGGC